ACTATTTTTTACATCAAGCATGCCCCTGTACTATGAAATAATTATCAAACATACCCTTATGTTAAAATTTTCATTGAAAAAATCGTCAATCATGGTTGAACCGAGATTTAGACGACCCGACATCGGCAAATGGGAGAGAAAATCTCAGGTTTATCTCCCGTTGTATTTCTCTGGGTGTATTCAAAGTGAAATTATTTGAATTATTTGGCTATACAAAAGACAAAAAAAAATTAAAATTGACATTATTAGATATATTTTAGACATTTGTGCCGCCCAAAACCAAAGTTCGACCTTGGTTAACGGTTTTTGGATGAAAATTTAAACAAAAGGGCATGTTCAATCATTTTTACAAAGTACAGGGGCATGTTTGATGTAAAAAATAGTAGAAGGGCATGTTTGATAAAACGTCATAGTAGAGGGGCATATTATACCTATAACCCCAAAATAAAACCAAAACTCCAATCCTAAAATTACATCCCAATCGAGTTCAATAGGGGCTAGGATCAGGTGACTAAGAGGGGGGTCCTTAGTCACATGACTAAGTCAATCTCAGCCCTTCCACCTCATTAAAATCCAATGGTTCAGATTAATTCAGTTTAATGAAGGGTAATGTGGTAATTATATAATTTATTTATTTGACAATTAAAAAAAACAATGTAATTCTCCCCGTCCACGCGACCGTTTCGTTTTTTGGGGATTTTCCGGCGGTTCCCCAATCTGCGCCGCTGTTCCCAGGCGTGTGGGATTTATTTCCCCACCCAAAAGCTTCTGGCTGTGGGATTTAATTTCCCCAAACAAAGCCTTTATCCTCCCAACAGCTACACGAGAGAGAGAGAGAGAGAGAGAGAGAGAGAGAGAGAGAGAGAGAGAGAGAGAGAGAGAGAGAGAGAGAGAGAGAGAGAGAGAGAGAGAGAGAGAGAGAGAGAGAGAGAGAGAGAGAGAGAGAGAGAGAGAGATTTTGTACTGTTAGTATGCTTAGTATTGTTTGTCGGTTTATTTTGTAATGTTTGTACGCTTTATTATTTTGTAATGTTTGTCGGTTTTTTTTGTAATGTTTGTAAACTTTGTTATTTTTGTGTATCGTGTTTATCATTTTTGTCAACCATGTTTGTAATGTTTTTTATGTCTAAAAAACACCCGGGTTGACTTTGGGAAGGAGCCCCTCTATATAGGGATGGAGCCTCCAAAGTCAACCCGGATGTTTTTTCAGTTCGTATGGATTGTCGGTATAAATTTGTCATTTTTGTCCACCATGTTCGTACTGTTAGTATGTCTAAAAAACACCCGGGTTGACTTTGGGAAGGAGCCCCTCTATATAGGGTGGAGCCTCCAAAGTTAACCCGGGTGTTTTTTCAGTTCGTATGGATTGTCGGTATAGTTTGTCATTTTTGTCCACCATGTTCGTACTGTTTGTATGTCTAAAAAACACCCGGGTTTACTTTGGGAAGGAGCCCCTCTATATAGGGATGGAGCCTCCAAAGTCAACCCGGTTGTTTTTTCTTTTTGTATGGTTTGTATTGTTTGTCGGTCTAGCTTGTATTGTTTGTACAGTTCATACGTTTGTAATGTTTGTAAATCTGTTTGTATGTTTTGTCGCTCTAGTTTGTACTGTTCGTATGTTTGTATGGTTTGTACTGATTTTAAGTCCGGTTTGTATACTTCATAATTTTTCATAATACCCAAACTACCCCTGTCATTAATTAAATAGCCCTTCCCACTTTTTAACCATTGGATTGAAGTGTCCAGATCTAAGGGCTGGGAGGGGCATAGTCAAGTGACTAAGCACCCCCCCCCCCCCCTTAGTCACTGGATCCGCTCTCGTTGAATAGGCGAGCTCATCATCAAAGTAACCAAAAAAGTCTCATATACTAGCAGGCACGCATGCACAGCCATTTCCAAAAACTAAGATCCATAAATCCATTTAAGATCCACATAAAACACAAATTTCCTAAATTTAAAGTCATATTAACACAAAATTCCCAGATTCAAAATCGTCACCCACACAAATATCTTTCCAAAATACCAGATCTGTGAACCATACTAGAATCAACCCACAAACAACATGATCCTTTTTTCCAGTTTCATCTCCCTAGACGTAAGCCATCTCCAAAACTTGCATCCCAACAAATCAAACCATCAAAGTCAGAAATAGAAACAACCCAAAACCCCTTCAAAACCCACATAAAGCGACGATAAGACTCACATAAATAGAGTTCGACCGTCGATCTTTTCCTTCTCTCACTATCGTCGGGGAGCCTCGCAGGCCGGAGACTTTTTCTCCCCTCGATCAAACCCAAAAATAAAAATGAGAAGAAGGTTAGAACCTTGAGCCACGCAAAAAAACTCAGAAAATCGAACATGGAAAATCATAATCCGCCACTTACAGTCGATTTGGAAGCTGACCGACGCTGCGATGGCTTATTTTAGATATGGGAGAGGTTTTCTCCTTTTTCCTCTAGGGAGGAAGAAGAAAGTTAATCAAAGGAGAGGGTTTCGGATTTCAGAAGAGGAAAGAGATTAAATTTTTTTTTTTGGGTCTTTAGTCCATTTTGGTAGAGAGAATAGAGGACAGGAAGGGAGGGCTAAATTGCAAGTTTGGTCACTAGAATTACTTAAAAATTTCACGTTTGCCACTAAAATTAATTTATTCCATCCGTAGTCACTTAAATTAAGTTAACAGTTCAAGTTTGGTCACTTGCCGTTAGTCTCCGTTAACTTTTGCTGATGTGGCGGTCAACTCTTATAGTTGACCGTTAAAAATGAGTGATGTGGCAATTAAAATAATAATAAAAAAATAAAAATTAATTATTTTTTATTTTCCACCTAATTATTTAAAAAAAATACCTAACTTGCCGCTAACTTCTCTTCGGTCACCGGATTGAGAAGGTACACGCTGTTGCCAACGGGGCCGAAGGAGGACCAACCAGCCGTCGCTGGAACCCACGCTGCGGCTGGTCCCTATGTTTGCGAACGAGGCGGCCGAGTTCGCCGCCGCGATGATCGAAGGAGGGCATGCGGTCCAGATCTGGGAAGAAGCGACGGGCGATGGCGTGGCCCACAACGAGTTATTGTGGTGGTTGTAGTGCCGTCACGGCGACCTCTAGAAGACCGTAGTTTCGGCAATGCGAGGATGCCTGGAGTGCTGCGGCGGCAGCGGTTGTGGGGGAGGAGGTTTTTCTTGTGCCCAGATTTCAAAATCATTCCTGAAGCTTACCTGTTAAAATGGTACACGGCCACAAGCAAGGTCTACGCTGTGGCCAGGGCCTGGAGATTGTTGTTGAGGAAGATAGAGTAGAAACGGTTGAGTCTGGTGAGAGGGGATGAGATTGAGCTGTGGAGCTGAGGTAGGTAGATAGATAGATAGATAGATGAATACGTACAATGGGGCAAAAGGGGAAACTCTTAAACAAACAAAGGTCGTCTCCACTTCCATTTCCATTCCAAAAAGTCATCTTCTCCACCATCCATTCAATTCCTTCCTTGTGGCCGTAGACCAAACAAGATCCCTCCACCATCCACAACCCCAATTTCTTCCTTCTCAGTCTCTCTATCTTTAGGGTTTTCCGATTCGGTTGTCTGCCATCAGTTATTAATTCGTGCAAAAGACAATATATTGATAGATCTCAAAACAGTTATGTGGAAGCCTCCATTGGCTTTTCTCCTTTGCTGTAGCCAAGAAATATCGCACATTTTTCACTCTGCGAGGTGAGATGCGTGGAGGGTTGTTGTTTATACTCATCTGATTTTTAGGGTTCTTTCCTTCTTTCTTGGTTGACTTGAAGCAAATCTTTTTATAGTGCCTAAGTTGGTCAAAGATGGTGAGGGGGAAAGTGGAGCTGGGGAAGATCGAGAACGCAGCGAGCAGGCATGTGACGTTCTCGAAGCCGAAGTATGGGCTGCTCAAGAAAGCTCACGTGATGTCCATTCTGTGCGACGACGAGGTTGCAGTCATCGTCTTCTCCCAGCGCGGGAGGCTCTCAGAGTTCTTTTTTTAATTAGGATTTTATTTTTTTAATTTTTAAAATAATTAGGCGGTAAATAAAAAATAATTAAATTTTATTTTTTATTATTATTTTAATTGCCACGTCACTCATTTAACGGTCAACTATAAGAGTTGACCGCCACATCAACAAAAGTTAACGGAGACTAACGGCCAGTGACCAAACTTGAACTGTTAACTGAATTTAAGTGACTACGGATGGAATAAATTAATTTCAGTGGCAAACGTGAAATTTTTGAGTAATTCTAGTGACCAAACTTGCAATTTAGCCGGAAGGGAGAGAAGATTTATGCCGCTTAGGGTTTCAGATTAAAGGGGATTAGAGTTTTCCTAAGTCAGGCCTGGTTATATACCTCTGGCCTCCACGTAAATGACTGATCTGCCCCTTCCATCCTTAAGTAGACAAAAAAATGGTTTTCTCGAGAGTTTCAAACCCGCGACCTTGAACTTTCATCCTCCTACCAGTGAAGATAACAAACGACTAAGCTACAATATAACCGTTGAATCTTCAGGCCCCTCGTCTGCTCTTATTCTTCAAAAAAGCTTAATACGTAATCAATTAAAGGTCTTGGAAATCTCGACCTAGTTACATCAAAATCTCATACATATTTTTTTCACTAAGTCATTAACCATTTGTATACATTTTTATAAAGATTCATGTAGAATGGAATCATGGTTAATCGATCATGATATTTGTTTATAGTGGAATCTTTTCTTGAATCGAGTCCAATTAGCAAAAGCTTTTCATTTTTTAATTTGTACGTCAATGGGCGTAAAAGTCAAAATCGTATACCAATAGGATAGGAGGTGACTTTCAAATTACTAGTCCAATTGGACTTTAAAATACATAATTAAGAATTTAAACACCCGACCCTTCAAAACTTATCGATTTAAGGTAGTACCGATTTAGGGCATTGTGGGGTGTGAATACACTTCCCCACACGTAATCGTACTCCCATACCCATAAATCTAAAATTCGCAGACCATTTATCAATTTTTACTCCGAGAGTTACAACCAAATCAAGAGTGTTCGATCCACTCCGAGTAAGATCGATGGGGACTCCGATCATCATGCGACGGTCCCCCAATTTTTGAGGGTCGGTTGTGACAGCCGCATGTGGAGGCTGCACCGGTGGAGCCCGGTCCAGCAGAGGTCCCACCTGCTCAGCCACGAGCATCACCGTCGGCACCATGCACCACCACCAACGTCTTCATCTGCTGAACCCAGCCCCTCCGCATCCTCGGTCCACCTCGAGGACCGAATCACTCACCTTGAGGAGCAGTTCACAGGGGTCTCCACATGGTTGGACAGATCCAACAGAGAGTCTTGTCCGATGACCAGGAGTGATCCCAACTCGAGCGAGGTAGTCGACCGAGTGAGACATGTGGCAGAGGTGATTTTTTCGCCCAACTTCTCCACTTGAAACCCTGAGCTTTATTATTTTTCGTTTCTTTAGTGCGTGAACAAGTACTATTGTGAGCTTTTCTTGTGTTTAATCGTGATGCTTAATATTGTTATGTGTAATAACCTTGCCTCGAGTGAGTGTTGGGGGGGGGGGGGTATTTCATTTGTGTTTGCCATGTCATTTTGTGAGTGAATGCTTGATTAAAGTGTCCGGTTGGTGGGAGAATCTCGTGTTTATTGCCATTGACTTTGAATTGATTGCATGTGATCGAGTGCATCCTATTATGATGATTGATAAGTGCATTAGGTTGGTGCAAGTGTTTAGTTCTCATATGTGTACAAATGAATGGATGACTTGACTTGATTACTCTTTGATTACAATTGCCACACATAAAAATTTTTGAAATTGGAATAGATGATTGGGTGGCTAGGTAGCCATGTGAGTTTTGTGCCGATCGTATTTTTCATGTGTGATAGATACCTCTTGCCATGGCGTGTAACATTCACCGTTGTCACTAGTGAGTATGATGGAAGCAAAGGATTTGTCCACGCCCAAAAGTTGATTGTCCCGAAACATCTTATCCCCTAGTCAACCCCCTTAAGCCGATGACTTTGGTTCGTTCTCATGTCAGGAGCTTGTGCTTGTTGAGCTTAATGGTGATTGACAGAATGATCCTTTCCTTTCTTCTTTTCTAAACCGTTGTAAGTCATCCTTGTGTCTCGGACATGGTTCAAAAAGGCACGCTTAACTTTACGCTTTGGCCCGCCTAAGCGTAAGGCAATGGCAAAACGCGTCGCCTAGGGGGTTCGCTCCTAATTAGATGGAGATAGGAAGTGAATATCAATGGAGAAAATTAACATCAACTTCGAAATCAATTTTCCATATCAATATTTTCAATAGCTCAAGAACTTTGTGAGCTATTGAACTATGATTCTATGAATTCTTGAGCTATGTTCTTGTCATTAAGTGTTGAGTACGTTATTAATCATTTAAACTGAATTGAGGAATTGTTTTAGATTATTATTTCATTCATCATGGAGTGCGAATAACTATTTTTCTTCCAACGACTAGGCACGCTTAGTCTATGCCTAGGCGAGCTAGGAGTTAGGCAAAGGCTCAACACCCGCCTTACGCCTAACGCATTTTTGAACCTTAGTCTTGGAGCTATCACTTTTGAGCTCCATCAAGGTTCTACATAGGTGGATTTTACACGATTATTGCTAGGAATGGAAAGTTAGTTTTGAAAGAAGTTCTTACTAGAGAGCATTGGTTGTTAAGTGTTAAAGTGGTATGTGTTTAGCAAGGTAGGCCGAGGAAGTGTGCTTGAATGTAGTTCTTTTTTGGTGATGGTTTGGAAGAAGGGAAGTGTGGTTTTTGGAGAAGGTCCAAATTGAAACCATAGAGCCTTGTGTTGGTTTTAGGTGAAACTGTGGAACCTCGTGCTATGTTTGCCACCACCCAAAAAGGCCTTTTCCCCATGTTCAAGACCCTTTTCAGTCATTTGAAATCGTGTCTAAGACCTCTGGACAAGCTAGTGAAGTAAACCATTTCGTGAACTCTAACATTTAGAGGTTGCCACTGTGGTGAAGAGACGATAGGGTTGAGTATTGATGATTGTGCAGATCTTTTGAACCAAATGATCCTGACCCCACTAGGTGAGAGTGAGTGATTCATTCATGTTTTACATGTTCATATCTTATCCCGGTGAGGACCTATGTCGCCCATTTGTTTTTTCCTTGGACTTGAACTCTATGCATGGTTAGTTGTGGTTGGTGAGTGGTCTTGTCGAGACTTGTATTGATTGGTGAACAAGGTGAGAACTTTTCGTTTGCATGTTCTTAATCATTCGAATGTCGTTTGTGGTGGATATTGATATTGCTTGTAATAGTTCATGTGTTAATGCCCAATAGTTATTGAGATTCACCTGCCTTGAGCCCTTTGATATGTCCCCAAATTATCTTCTTAGGTTGAGATATTACCTTGTTTGACATTGGTTTGCTCGGGGACAATCAAACGTCTAAGTGTGGGGGAGTGATTCTGGTCTATTTGTACACTTTTTGCCCCCTTTTTCCTTAGATGTTAGAATTAATTTTACTTCACGAGGTTCAGTTTTATGCTAGGTTGTGGTTGTTTTTAGAATATTTCATATCCTAGCAGGTGAAACCAACCCATGGAACGAAAGTTGGACGAAAAGGGGTGGAAACCAGTCAAAAGGGAGCAACAGCAGTAGATCACGGTGGAGGCCAGCAGTTCACGGTCATCCAGGCCGTAAAGAGGAGGAATTAACCGTGAAGAACAAGGATTCCATAAGGGTTTGTCCATCTCGCGGGCATAAACCAGTTCACGAGCACTCCACCGTGAAGACCAGCTCCAGACCGTGAACTCCATTAATGAAACGATGCATTTTTGCTTGATATCACAATCCGCGGCAGATGTTCACGGCCGTGAATTGGGACCGTGAAATGCCGTCGTTTTGGGTATATAAAGGGGGCTGAGCTGAAAGAGAAAAGGAGGAACCTAGTTAGAGAGACTTCTTCTTCTTCAGATTTCTAAAGTGAGAAAGTGACGAACAAAAGTTGAAGAGAAGTTAGGGTTTCATCCAAGAGCTAGGTTTTGGGAAGTTCTCCTCCAAGATGAATCTCCACACCACAAGCAAGAAGGCAAACATCTCCAAGATGATTTTCTCTCTTCTCCATTGTGTTTTCCCTCTACTTAGTATGGAGTAGACCTTTCTTTCACTTGGGTGTTTGTAAACCCTTCCCCTTCTCGTTAAGAGGCTTGTAAAAGCTGGAATTGCTTGGTTAATTGTGTCACCTACCTAGGTTGAATTAGGGAAAAGCTCTTAATACGTATTAGCACCTTTGGCAGGTTGTAATTTGGCCGTTCGAACTATAGATCGAGGGTGAAGTAGGAAACCCATAGTCGATTGGGCCAAAAGAGTTACCTTGGTAGCTTGATTTGATATCCCTTGGCCTAGAGACCGAGAGAGTGACAATTGTTCACTTGTTGCCCTTCCCTCCGATTTACAACCGTCTTTACCACACATTTTCATTCAATCCAAAAAATCATGATTGTTAGCTAGGGGCAACACTCGGGTGAAGCCTTCTCAATTAGTGTTCAAACCATTTACTTCTCCAATCATTTTAGTCAATAAGTCGTAGCTTTAAGTAAAAACCAATTGCTAGATACTGTTTCAAACAATCGAAGTAGGGGTACATGGACCAACCCAAGTTTGACTTTTAAAACCTTGTTGGAGGACAATCTCGAGGAATTAATCCTTATCGCTCAACATATAATCCAGGTTGGAGGAACCATCCTAACTTTCTTTGGTCTTTTCCAGCGGAGAGAAAGCCTCCGGGGTTTCAATCGCAAGCTCCTATGCAAAATGCTTATCCAAGGCCGAGTCAACCCTCATACGAAGGGGCATATCAAGAGCATAGTTGATCCTCAGATGATCGAGTCTCTAAACTTGAAGACTTGGTCTTCAATTCGTCACACACTCCAACAAGAAGTTTGAAGCTATTGACAAGTTCATAGAGAGTACCACAACCAAATTCTCAAGTTTAGAAGCGGGACAAAGGAATCAACAAGCTTCACTTCAAAATCTTGAAGCCCAATTAAGCTCTTTGGCCCAAACTCTATCATCGAGACCACAAGGAACTCTACCGGGCAATATCGAGCCTCATCCTAAGGAGGGATGTCATGCGGTAACTCTAAGGAGTGGCCGACCTTGAAAGGAGGTTCCTATCTCAACACCAGGAAATGTTAAGAGAAGTTCAACGTGAATTCATTCAATAAGAAGATCTAGTTCGGGAAAAAATGCAACCTCCTATTGAAATCAAGATTTAAGATGAGGAGAAGACTAAGAAGACTCAAGCACCCAATCCAATACCAAAAGCTCCTTATCCTAGACGGTTATTTGAAAGTGATCTCAATCATGAATGTGCTCCATGGAACGGCACCTCGAAGCAATTGAAGGTTACAGTTCCTTTCTTAGACATGATGATGAAGATTCCTAAGTATACCAATACTTGAAATAAATATTGTCGGGGAAGAGGAAGAAGTTGTTATGGTAATCGTTAATGAAGTTGATTCAGCATCCATTGGATGTGAAGGATTCCCTCTCAAATTAAGAGATCCGGGAACCTTCACTATCCCATGTACCTTCGGAGTCAAAAACATTTTGGAATCCGTTGGCGGATTAGGGGTCTAGTATAAACAGTATGCCTACAAGAATATACAATGAGTTAGACCATGGACCACTCATACCTACTAAGATGCTGATTGAGTTGACCAATAGGTCCGTTGGCGAGGCAAGAGGAGTCATAGAGAATGTCCTGGTAAAATGTGCTCATTTTTTCTATCCTGTGGACTTCGTGGTTCTCGACAATGAAGGATGTGATGCATCGATTATCCAAGGCCAGCCATTCTTAGCCACATCAAGGACTATCATTGATGTGAGAGGAATCCAGATCACCTTAAGGTTTGGAGATGAGGATATAAGCTATAAGAAGACTCCAATCCCCAATTTGCACAAGTACTTTAAATGGGAAGATGTCAAGATGGATTGTGAGCCGGTTACACCTCCTACCACACCGCCTTCAAGCCCCAAGATAGAATGGTTCAATATGGTCACTCATGTTGACCCCCATGATAGTGTAGATGAAGGTATGTTTGATTCTTGCAAGATCATAAAGAGACCAGGTAAAGAAGAATTTTCTCACGAAAGGGATATTCAAGAGTTGCTCAAAGTTTCTCATCAAGCCATCGATCATAGAAGGAATCTAAAGAGATTCATCTTTGACGAGAGATTCCCTAAGGAAAAAGGTCGGGAAGTTAAGAACAACCTAGCTCTTATACTCGAAGATGAAGAATTCGGGGAATGCTATAAGTCATTCACGGATGATGATACAAGTACTAGGGAGTTTGTTTCCTTCAATCCTACACATCAACCTTCAGATGAATCTTTCCTCTTTCAAGCAGCGGATGAGGAATCCGAGAGACTCCATGGTCTTCACTTGGGACTTCACCACAAGTATGATTTATACGAAGGATCATTGGTGAATGAGGGAGATCTTGTCTTTTGATCTCAAGGAGTCAAGTCCGACAAAATACTTTTAAGGACGCGCTTGTTGGAAGGCAATCCAATAACTCGGTTTTCTTATCTTTTTATTTTTCTTTTTGAATAATTGTTTGAGTAGAGATTAAGATTGATTTGAGAATGATTGATATGACTTAGCTCTTGCCTTGCCTTGTCTTTGGATAGTTGAATGCTTTAGATGAATGAGTAAGATTAAGGAACTGGTGAAAATATGTGGTCTTGATCAGGGTAAAGATCGCGGTTGACACACCAAAGATTGCGTCCGCGATCTCATGTAAACAACCCTTGATCTTGCCCGTGCCTATTTAAAGGGAACTTCCACATTGCATTCATGTGTGGTCTCTTCATCTCATCTTTTAGATCTACATACCATGTTTATCCCACTTCTCTTAGCTTGTTGAGCATATCCTCTCTAGACTCAATTTCTAACATCTTTTGAGAAGAGTTGTTAATTGCTTTTGGATTCTCAACATGTCTCCTAGTAAGGTAAGGTACACTTTCTCATTATCTCATATTTTAACCGCCTTATCTTGCTCATCATGTATTGAATGCCTTGAGATCTTGAAATGCTCATCTTCATCTTGGCTTGACTACTTGATGCGCTAGGATTGTTCTTTTTTGCTTTAATGAGCTTGCTATGCATTTTGGGAAACCTTAGTGGGCTATTTCCGTGCACTTCTTTAGTTTTGCAAAGACAGTCCACCGAGTGTTCTTAAAAATTCCCCAACTACATAGTTTGCATTAACTCGTTTGCATTGTTTATCTCTTATTTGCTCGATTTTGCATTGACTTGGGAGATTTTGCAATTCATTACCTTGAAAATTCATCTCTATCCAAGTCCCCTCTCTCACCCAAGACTTAGTCTCACTCAAGTGTAGGGTGGGGAAGGATCTTGGAGACTTGATGGTAGTTCATTGAAAATTATATTTTTACTATCTGATGCATGGATTGATGGTTTGTGAATTGTGTACTACTTGTTTTGATGGATAATATACAAGATTAAGGGGATGGCTTGTGGTGAGAGTTCCTCCTCTCGTACCACTCACCCTAGACAAGGCCATCGGAAGAAGAATAGAAAATCTCGTTCAAAGGAAGTAATTGTTGAAGAACCTCATCCACCATCACTTCTCCCACATCTATCAAGGGAAATTCACCAAGATAACTGATTTAATATCGGAGACGGCATAGAGCACATCACTCACTACTTCTTGGAACATGTCACCGAGCAATTTAAGACCAAACTTATATGGCTTCAAGGAATTGCACTAGGCAAGAGTACATGTCTCAACTGGATACTCTTCACACAACTTGGGATCGAGGATGCAATCTCGTCCAAGATCCAGAAGACGGAATGGCTTAAATTGCTATCCATTCAAGAAAACATATGTCGGTTACTTGTTTTGGAGTTCATTAACACTCATACCATTCAAGATGTAAGAGGTGAAGCAGACCTTGAAGACAACATCCAATTACAACCAGGAGGAGAGAATTGCCAACTGTCGATCTGACAATTGGCAAGAGCCATTGCTACCTTGACAAGGGAATCTGACTTCCCATGTTTCAAGTCCTTCTATGAATCCGAAGTCAAGAGATTCGAGCATTAAGAATTGGATCATCGTCTCGCCTCCCTTCAAGGAGCAGTTTTTGTCACTCGTCTAGCCAAGTATTTCCAAGTCGACTTTGGGGCCGTGCAATTCCAGTTGGATAGTAGGACCACTCCTATATCCTTTGAAGTCTTCAAGTCGAAAATCAAAGTTCTACATATGAATGACAATGTCATTTGGGGAGTACGGGGACTTCCATTTCCAACCACTAATATGCTGGACATGGAGGGTATCGTGTTCCAACTTCCGGAAGCTAAGGTGGCGAGGGAACGAAGGAGACTTGCAAAGTGAGGATTAAGGAGCTGCTCCTCCATGTTGTGGCTGTGGAGGTGGGAGCTGCCGCGTCCCTTGGTTTTTTGGGGAAACCGAAGAAGATCAAGTGGAGAGAATATATGAGGGAGGAGAGGCGCCTCTACCCACTTCTCACCTGGTTCCCTTACCAATCAACAACGCTAGGGACTACTGAGTCGAAGCAATGATAGCGGCGATCCTTCACAATCAAAGGAGGGAGAAGGAAGCGCGACTCCACGTAATGGCGTGCATCAATGCTATTATGTAGAAGATGGACATTCCAATCAAAGATGTATCGCCCCAACTTGATCGCTTCACTCCCCTTGCACCACTCCAATAAGAAGAAGAATGACCCTCCGATGAGGATTGAGTACTAGGCATCAACGGCTTAAATTCCACCTTTCCTTTTTCTTTGCTTTTCTTTTATTTCAATTAAAGCAATGTTTAATTACTGCTTTATTTGTGTTTTACTTTTCATATTTTAAATATTCTAGCACTAGTAGTATTATTACTTATATTATATATCTATCGTACCTATAACTCTTATTCGTCTTCCTCTCTTTCTTATGCTTTATTGTTGAGAAAATCACCAGGAAGACAAAGACCTACACTTGTGTATCTTAACCAACCCAAAACCCAACCTATGGTAACCTTAACGATCTTCTCTTATGAAACTCTCACATTGAGGACAATGTGTTGCTCAAGTGGGGAGGGGGGGGGGTGAGGGAATGTCTGTGAATGTTTGAATGATTATCATGATTGGTTGAACCATGAATTGCTAGTATCCTCCCTTGTTTATGAATGTAAGACGTTGATGAATGCCTATGGGAGTGTATGTTAGCGACTACGTTTGTGTTGTGGTGATTAATGGTCAAATGATAGTGTTTTGGAACCTTGAATGCACTACCAATTTTTTTTTTAATTTGAGGTTCCCAATCACGTAGTTACTTGAAATTTCTTACTTAATATGCTTTGATTTGATAGATACTCGATGTGTTGTGCCCACTAGGTGATAGTTGCATTATTAGAGTACCGGTGTATGAGGGGTTTTATTATATTCTTTCTCTTTTGTGAGTTGATAATATTTGCTATTTTAGGAAGAACATGTGTGCGACATTCTCTTTTGTTTGTCTAGTGATAGGGCAAAAGTGTAATGCCTCGATTCCTATCTTGTAGTAAACCGGAAAGTCCGGGTATCATCTCTCAAGGACTGGTACAACCTTATATTCTATCAAATTTATAAGCAAACTATAAGTGAAAATAGTTTAATAAGACTAATTTCTAAAAGTAAAATAAAATAAACAAATTAATTAAATGAAAACTGTATGGAGAAATTCAATGGAGAAAGCTCTGGGAGAAACACCGGGACTCACTACCTATCATATCAAAATTAATTCACATATTCCAATCAATTTAATCCATATCTCTACAGCCAGGATATCACTACTATGCTAGCTATCCTTGTCGGGAATTACTACGTACTAAACAATTAAATCAAATCCTACTGTCGTAGCTCAATGACTTAATTATTTAGCCTGAAGAACGATATCCTATTTAAGACCGCATAACACCTTATTTAATGCACTGTCGCTTCGATAAGCTACTATGTCACATGAAATATGTTCAGTTATTAGGGTTTCACTGTCGCTAATAACCTAATCAACTACAAATCGATGTATTGGTGGCTAGTCAACACAAAGCATTATGTAATTTCATGTAATAGAGATTGGAAGAAAAGAATTATGAATCAATCCATCAAGTATAGAAAATAGCTACATCCTATGGTGTTTCCCCCAGAAATTGGGGTTTAGTTCATGATAAAACTAAAACACATAATCATGTTCGTGTTCATCATCGTATTAATTAAAGCTAAAGGAAAAATACTGAGATTCTCGAACGTAATCCCGATACCAATTCCTTCTCGCTTCAATCGCCTGTTGCTTGCTCCGCGCGATGATCGCGATTGCTGCCCTGGCCTCTGCTCCTGCTGCGCTGTCCCTCACCAAAAGAGATTTTCCGCTGCCAATTCCCATTTTTCCTTTCTTGCCTCGGCCCAAAAAATATAATTTCGTCCCCAAAATAATTGCCAGCTAGCTGGGTTTTGAGCCCATTAGGTCCGCTCCCCCTTTGATCCCAATCCAGCTGGGCCTTGAGCCCAAAATAATCACCAGCCCGCCATTAATCTCCCTCCAGCTGCTCCTTTCAGGCCCACGTGTTATTTGGCCAGTGATTCGAGAATTGTTTGCCTGTGAGACTTCTTTTCATGTTTTCTTCACCTGTAAGACATCAAACTCATGGCACTAGGCAGTAATGGTTTTTCAACCATTCCCGGGTTAGCGAGCCCTAAAATAACACCAATCGGCTTAAACATATCATGGGATAGTCACATAATGTTCGAGAATCAGAGCAGATAGGATAGGTGATAGTTCTTCGGATGGTCCACTATCACAGGAGAAGGGATTTTTCCTTTCTCGAGCTCCACTTTCAAAGTCATCAAATGCTTCGTGATTATGATCAACTTGAAAGACATTAAAAATTTTCCTCCTCCTTACCTACTCGGAATGTCAGTTTGCCTCTCCAAACATCGATGAGTGCATCTCCAGTTGCTAGAAAAGGTCTCCCAAGAATGAGAGGCACTCCCCGATCTTCTTCTATCTCCAGAATTACAAAATCTGTTGGGAGAATAAACTTCCCAACCTTCACCAATACATTCTCCACCACTCCTTTTGGAATTTTCACTGATCGATCAACCAATTGGAGAGTGATCCGAGTAGGTTTAAGAACATCTCCCAATCCCAATTTCTTGTAGACTGAGTATGGGATCAAATTAATTCCTGCTCCAAGATCACAAATTGATTTATCGAACTCTCTACCTCCAATAACACATGGAATGGTGAAACTACCCAGATCATCCCTCTTTTCTGGTAATTTATTCTGAATCACGACACTACATTCAGAAGTAAGGGTTACCTTCTCAAGATCATCCCATTTGCGCTTCTTCGTCAGCAACTCCCTTAAGAATTTAGCATATATAGGCATCTATTCAAGTGCCTCCGCCAACGGTATGTTGATATGAAGTTGCTTGAAGAGATTCACAAATTTCTTGAAGTTTGGGTCTTCCATGGGCTTCATTAACCTCTGAGGGAAGGGTGTAGGAGGTTCATAAGGCTTTACCTCTTCCTTCTTCAATTTTTCCACCTTTGGAGTTGCACAGGCAGAATGCTAATGCACAGGCATATTGCATGCAGTTTGCCTGTGTAAGTCAGATTTTTCAGCTTTTGCACTTTCTTCCTCTACAACTGCTTTTCCCTCCTTTTCTACCGGATTTTTCTTGCTCTTTGGATCCTCCAACTTCTTCCCACTCCTCAATGTGACTGCTACAACCATGGTATCCTTTGGATTTCTCTCAGTATTTGCCGGTAAAGTCCCAGGAATCCTACCTTGAATATCTGCCAAAGTTTGAGCCATCTGCCCTATTTGCCTCTCCATAGCTAGCATAGATGATTGCATATTATTGTTGATTGCTAGCTGTTGAGTGACAAATTGATCAAGACCCTTGAAATTATTGTCTATTTTCTGCATGAGCCAAAATCAAATCCTCCATCTGGGGCTTCTTCTCTGGTTGAGGCTGTTGCTGTTGAAAACCAGGAGGTGGGACGTTTCGAACACCAGCTGGATTATTGTTTGACCATGACATATTGGGGTGATGTCTCCATTGAGGGTTGTACGTATTTGAATACACACCACCTTGGCCTTGACTTCGCGGATTATTGATATATTGGACATCTTCCAATTGAGCAGCTCCCAGTGGACACATATCCCTATGATGAGGACCTTCGCAAAGTTCACATGAAGCAACCTCCTCTTGTCTACCCAGAGAAATCTTGGCCAGCCTTTGTTTGAGTGCATCAAACTTAGAATCCAGTTTAGCATCTATCTTGGCTTATAGACTCACAACTCTGTTTATCTCATGCAAGCCTCCTCTTCTTCGAATACTGGTCTCACTACCCCATTCAGTGGCTTCTGAACAGATCTTTTGTACCAGATCATATGCTGCTGGTGCCTCCATGCTTGTGAAACCATTTCAAGAAGCATTATTCAGGGCATCCCGGAACTCCCTTCTGATTCCATTGAAGAAAATAATGATCACGTTCCAATCTTCAAGACCATGGCTTGGGCATCTCATCAATAGCCCCTTATAGCGCTCCCATGCCTCAGTCAGACTCTCATCATCAGCCTGCTTAAAAGTAACCATCTCTTCTTGCCTCTTCATTGCCAAGGCAGGTGAGAGTATTTATCCAGAAAGACCTTCTCAAGCTGAGCCCATGTCGTGATGGAACGTGGTGTTAAGTTCTGAAACTGGTGTGATGCATTCCCTATCAAAGAGAATGAGAACATCCGAAGACGAATTGCATCATCAGACACAGTTGGGCTCTTCATCGTATCACATATGCTCGCGAACCGACGGAGATGTTCGTGAGAATCCTCATTGCTAGCCCCGGAGAAAGTATATCCATTGGTGATCATGTTGATAAATGCTGGTGTAATATCCATGGTTGCATTCCCAGCCGGAATGACAACACATGAAGCTCGGGTTTTAGTCCGTCGATTCAAGCGAGCCCTGATCGAACGATCCTTGTCTGCCATGATGACAGGCTCAATGTCACGAGGTGGTGGTGTCGGTGGTGTAGGGACGACATGTGATGAAGCCTGCCCTCTCTGTTGACGATTATGGGTTAGGGAAGGCCTAGGAGTTGTGGTTGGCTGCTTCCCTAACTTGACCCGCTTCCTGTTCTGTCGGAAGGTCTTCTCAATCTCCGGATCTAGTGGCAGTAAATTGCCAGTCGTCCTCCTAGGCATGCATGAGGAGGA